CAAAAACGCTTCTAGACAATCGAATACAAAATGTTTTATTCGTGTATACATATACAACAGGTGGGCAAAGTGCGGCCCGCGAAAGTGAATTAAAAACCCTATGTGTGCGGCCTGCCAAGCAACATTGGCTAGAAAACATCTTATTGTTTACGGCCAGACGCCGATTATGTAAACAAGTAACATTAAACTGAGAATAAAGTGGTGTAAAAGCAGTGCTTTGAGGATTTTGGAAACTCAATGGAAACATCGAAGTTTGGATGCATTTGCATGCAGTTTGAGTGCATTTAGCACTGTTTCTGTCATTATTTGATTAGTTATACCACAATGCTACGCAGCAACATTGATTCTATGTTACTTCATTGTAATACAGTTCTTTGGCAAACAGTATATCAACAAACAGTATAAGGATTTTTTTTTTATTTGATAGGCTATTTCCGATACGATACTCACATCACTTTCCATTTATTCGAGCTCTGTTTTCACCATTATTTAATTACATAAACAGAGTGCTACACACAAAAATTAATTATATATATATATATATATATATATATATATATATGTTATATATGCATATTTGAAAAATATATATATAAGTTCATTCGATATTATTGCCTTCATACCATTACTTGAATGTGATATTTAATTTATGTCTACATAATTTCATTTATGCTAAAGTTATCTATATACTTTTCTTAATTTTTCTTGATTTTTCTTTTATTTATTTTCACTTTCTCCATTATATTCATTTTCTATACTTTTTTATTTCATTTCCTCTCCAATTTTTTTTTCTTTTCCAACGTTCTTTAGTTTTCTTTCTTTAATTTTCTTTTCTGTTTCTTTTCCTTTCAAATATTTACATATGTTTATATATATAATTAGCCATCTCATAAACATGAAGTCTATTCGATATTAGTGTCTTCACCATTAATTTGAATATTTGATTTATGTTTATATAATTTCATTTATGCTAAAACTAGCTTTAATAGAGATGATGTTTAACATCTGCATCTATCTCTCTCCCCGGGGAAGATTGGATGATTGAGTAGACTCAAAATCGAAGAGGTTTTAGGTTTTAATTAGTATTAGTATTAGTATTTAGATACGCTATTCATAGAAAACTATATCATAGCGTTTACAGAGTTGAATAATGATTTGAAGCAATAAGCTCAAGTTAATTTTGAAAAAAGATGTGTTTTCAGTAGTTTCAGTTAGTTTAATTCAAAGAAAATACCACTATGGCACTTGCCACCTAACTTTCGCCTCGGATTTTTCCACTAGAGAATTTGTTTTCCATCCAGTTATGTTTCCAGGCTATTTCTTGAGGCTGTTTTCCAACTGCTATTTCCCCCGGCTATCTTGTCCCAGTATTTTCCATTTTATTTTTCCTCCTAGTTTTACAACTGAATATTTTCATCAGTTTATCTATTGTGTAAGGCGGAACACATTATTTGTTTATGCTCTTGTTTTTGTTTTGTAAGGTTACATCATAAATGTTCTTGATGCATTTGAAGTACTAATGAAGCCAAAAGACTCATTGTAGAAACGTGATTTTTAAAAGTTTGCTTCCGTGTTCACACAAAAAAACAGGAAACCTCTTTTTAACGTTGAGTACCGTACTATTTTGGACAATAACTAACATACCTATTTCCTGGTCGGTCTATATCCATGTTTTGCTGAATCAGCTAATAATAATCTGGCAAGGAGTGGAAATATTATTTCCACCATTGGTAGTGGCCATTCTTGTACTATGCCGAACATTTTCCAGTGGGTTTTATTGGGTTAACTCACAAGCTGATCTATATGATATTCAATTGGTGTGATATGTGCTGTAAATGTGAATACATACCGGTAGGCTAAAATTAATTATTTTGGCGGCCATATTAAATTTCAAGATGGCGGCCATTTTGAAATTTAATATGGTGGTCTTCTGACATAATTTCTGATGGCTGTATAGTAGTCCCTGATATCGAAAACATGGGCAACAGACTTTGATTAACAGTGGTAGGTACACATGTAGATATGAATATTGACAAAAATATCATTTATTTGGCGGCCATCTTGAAAAACAATAGGGCGGCGCCATCTGACATAATTTCTGATGATTGCATTACACTCCTTGATATCGAAAACATGGGTACTGATCTTCAAATGGCAATGACATGTGCTGTGATATGAATATATTGGCTTAAAAATCAATTATTTTGGTGGCCATATTGGATTTCAAGATGGCGGCCATTAGGAGGCGTTATTTTTTTGGGGTCTATTTTTTTTAATGATCTTTAGGTGCCATAGTATCACTATGGGAAGTTTCATGCTTTCTTCCAAAAGTGCACGATTCTACCTGAAATTCAACCTTAGCCGCTCTACTATGACACTGCTGCCGGGGGAACGTAGTAGGAACCCGGTGGAGTTCAGAGGCGAAGCCCTGGTTGGAGGGGGTGCGTTGGTTGTTGAAGGAGAAAATTATTTACGAGGATTTAATTTTTGAGGGGGTTTTCTTTAGGAAAATAAATGCCTTTCGGTCTAAAATAATATGCTACTAACATACAGTAGTATGGTCAGTGTGACCACTAGGAAAATCGAAATTCCCAAGATAGTCTAAAAAATCCCAAGATAGCTTTAAAAATCCCAAGATTTGCATAATATTTGGATATATACATGCAAATTCATTTTAAAGTCGCATTTTAAGGCTTTTTTTAAACAAATTTTATGCTGTACTGTATTATAAATAGTGTCTGGATTTTCGAGACCAATAATTCGTTCGGTTTTTTTCAACTGAGTATAGAATTTTCTGAAGGGAATCATATTAATAAAAAAAAAATGCAATTGTCATTATTATATTTGTATTCACAGAAAATATTCCAGTTAGCATGATATGAATAGAAAAAAAGCATTGATTTTTAACTTCTATTTTTGTGGGGTGTAAGCGGAGAGTAAGTATTTTTGATGAATCTGATTTAACTTCTAGCTGTCAAATTAAGACACAGAAAAGCATTTACAAAATATGAGAAGGTGCGATTTCCTGGCATCAATATTCTTGCTCAGCTTTTTTCAGCACTACGTAGGGCCTATGTCTACTTGTTGTCTGAAGCAAACGTCATTCTGCCAATGGGACATAAGAGATTTAACTTTAAAATTCATACTATTTTGGAAAAGAATGAGAATGTCTCTAAACAACAGCCTTATTATTCAGAAAAAAAAACAATAACAAAAAACAAGCAAAAAAACTACCAAGTCTCCAATGGGTCTTTTATTTTGAACAAATGAGCAGCCCTCATTCACGACTGTACACTAAAGGGGTGTTTGGCCATTATAATTTATTTTTAAATTGTCTTCATGATAGAACTAAAAATTCCATATCATTCAAAAAATCCCAAGATTTAATGAAAAGTTAACAAAAAATCCCAAGATCCTAAGATTAAAAATCCCAAGATTTTGGGATATATCCCAAGCAGTAGTCACACTGCTGAGTATGGTAGTTTGAGAACGCGCCCTCTATATTATTTAATACAAATCACCTGTATGTAAATTATTGAAACAACAGCATACTGTAAAATCATAAAATGAAATGATGCCTTCTTGGTCGTCACAGTTATTAGAGCCATGAGGCGCTCTATTCTTTTTTTATCACACTTTTGTGAGTTAAGTTTAACCAGAGTTTAACCAGGCTTGTGTTACCGTATATCTAGCCTATACTCTATAAGACTAACATTATTATTATTGTTATTATTATTATTATTATTATTATTAATATTATTATTCTTATTATTATTTTACTGTAAAGTGAAAACTTCATTTTGTCAAAACAACCTAACCATAGTGATTAATATATACATTACACCAACTAAATAAATAATGCATAAAAATACAATTTGTAATTATATGAAGCATACCATGTTATTTTTTATTTTCTATTTTATTACAGGGCATAATCTTAATTTATTCGAAAAACAGATAATGTATTTTACTAATAGGCGTACCACATCACGCTACTATCATATGGCCTACCTGTACATAATAATAACGAATAATAATTAACAATTAATGTTTACAAACGACTAACTAAAGTGCATCTGAAACTAAATACCAAATTGGTAAAGCTGTCAATAAACAATAAGGTAATGTTCTACGATTTGGTATATTTTTATGGAATTTGAAAATGAGAGAATGGTTTTAAAATTATGAATGAATGAATGAATGACAGCGAGTGCAAAAAGAAGAAATGAATACCACAAAATTACGGTATGTCATCAGTGGCGGATCCAGGAATTTTAAATAGAGGGGGCCCAGAGAGGGACTTTCACAGATGGAGGATCTATACTCCCTGAGCCCCACCATGTTTGGGGCTGAGGTAAAAACATTTATGATTATGGCACAGCAGCATTATTGATCGTAAATCAGAAATATTGCTGTAGCAAGTTGTGTATAATTTTTTTTTTCATTCAGTTTAGTTAGACACTTAGCTAGATAAAATCAAATCCCGCATGTTTGTTAATTTCTATTTATAATGACCAGCCGGACAGATTGAAAACAATAAGGTTAAATATGAATATTTATAAATGTTTACCTCTTATATGATTACGGCATGCTGAATTTTCTCATGATTTAGTAGGAGAGCAATCAAGAGTTGACATACCTTCGATCTAAGCCTATAACCAGTTAACTGTTTTATCTTTAGTAACAATGGCTGATAATGATATTATTGAGTATGAAAACGATTTGAGCAAATATGAAGAAGTTCCAGAAGATGTGCGCAAATTTCTCAAATCAGAGATACGTGGAAACACACCATTGAATACTGTCAAAGTCAGGGGATACGATTTCAATCAGGGCATTGACTATCATGCTCTGTTCAAGTCATCTCTTTCTACTGGGTTACAAGCCACCAACTTCGGCAGAGCAGTTATTGAAGTCAACAAAATGGTAAAAAAGTTCTTTATCCAAATATCTGGTGGCGGTAGTTATAGTACGTAGTAGTAGCAATGGTGTAGCAGGAGCAGTATAGTACTGTATTTGGTAAGCCAACAACAGGGGCGGATCCAGAAACTTTCTGACAGAGGGAGGAGGGGCAGTAGGTAAAACACACTCACCTCCACCCCCACCATGGTTGGGACTGAGATGAGCAAATTTTAAGAATATGCCCCTTCTCTAGACACTCGGAATCGGCACTCTCAGATGGTAAAAATTCTTTTTGAAAGCAGTGTTCCTCCTCGACAAAATTATTGACTTCTTCCCGACGGGAGCTAAGCTCCCCTCACTTATACACTCCTTCCCTCAATGACCTATAGTCTATTGTATACTGGGAGTCGTAAAGCAAATTATGATTATGGCACCTCTAGATGCCCGGAAATGACACTCATTCAGACTTAGAATTTTAAAATATTATCTCCATTTTTTTCTTTAATTTTGACAAATGCAGGGGAATTCTGGTCGGTTTGGCACTGGAATAATATGATATATGTCCTACAGTCGATGTCAAACACATTATGCTGTTATGTATCAACAAAGCCCTTTTAGATCAGGGTGCTATAGAGCGAGGATCCTATGGGTAGGGGAACCGCAAGGGCCCCTAAGGGTCGGTGGCCCTGCGGACGCCGCCCGAGAGCGCATACGTGTTAAGCTCGTTTTTCACTAGGCGAATTTAGATTGGTTGCGCATTTTTTCGCTTCGCAAAAACTCCAATAGGAATGTAAATGTGCGAATAAATTCGCCTAGTGGAAAACCGGTTTTACGCCACTGAGCATGGATAGCTGTTCTAGCCGGGTACTTCCGTCATCATTGCTTTAAAAAAAACCGTCTTGGGTCTCCGCCTTTTGGCCTTTTTTAACATCCTGGTTTATAAAAATCATGAAAAAATCGGCAACAGAGATATAGCGTAACGTTGTGTTCGTCGTCAATCAATAGAAAATTCAAAATTAGTGAGTGGTAAAATAATTGAGCTCTCCTTTTTCCCCCTGCGGGGTCCGCCACTAAACTCTTGAGTACACATACTTTTTCCCCCCCTTTCCTACCTTTAACTCAAAAAAAATTTCTCCCTCTTTTTTAATTTTCGGCGGGACTGACGGGGGGGGGGGGGGGGCAATGGCCTATACCCTACTGGATCCGCCCTGAACAAAACCATATAAGAAATACCTAACCTATTCATTGATATCATTAAATCTCCTTATTTCGTCCATCCATATTCTGCTATTCTATATTTCTCTATAATGTTTATATACATCTGTAACCTGCATAACTACCGTACCTATTATGAATTCCAAACAATTTTTACTCCATTGGTTTTGCTTGACAAATATTTGTAATTTAATTTGGCTGAATACAGTTCTTCCTTGAGTTTTTGGTTCGTATTATAAATGCCATATTCATAAATTTCACTTAAATTCTCCTCTCTACCTCCATTTCTTCCTCATCTTATTCTCTGTGTAAGGTTTATTTCTCTTTTTACTGCCACTTTGCAATGCTACAATCCACATTTTTGTTTCCGCTAACTTTCTATAAATTACTTTTGGTCTTTAATTTTATGTAGCACCACCTCCTTTATCATTTTTACTATTGTTTTTAGCTTCTAATGGCGGATTCATCGGGGGCCTGGGCCAGCCGCTCCTATCCCCTTAAATTATCGAAAATTATACAGTGAAAAAGAAGAAATTACGGTACATTTAAAGAGTGTCATGAGCTCTCTGTTTTTGGCCCCTCTATTTTTAATTCTTGGATCTGCCAGTGCATCTTTTACTTTGTTCAGTTTTGTGTAATCTACCTGATTTCTAGCTAGTGTTTCTCTGAGATTTTTTTTCATTTAGCTCTAAATATCTTCTCATCTCAACTTTCTCTTCACCAAAGTAAACATTTAGTTTGTTTTTTTTTCCAATTTTGCCTCCTCCAACATATCAACCTTCGGCTTGATGCCATGTTAACAAGACATTACGGTGTGATATTATGCTAGAATTTCTTAGCATTTTGTATTAATTTGTGATTTTTCTCCCCAGTTGGACTTAAAGGCCAAGCAATTACCAGAAGAACTGGTAAAAGAGAAGACTGAATCTAACCCCTGTAAAAGACCGTTTTCAAACTGTACCATCTTCCTTAGCTTCACGTCCAGCATGATATCATCTGGAATCAGAGAAATTATTCGATTTTTGGTGCAGCATAATCTAGTACGTGCAACAAACTAATCTGGTGTATTTAAGAATTTTAGGTACATTATCAGAATGTGTTTTTAATTATTATTACCTGTATGTAAGTCGATTTCTGTATCAGGTGTGCTCTGGCTTAAAGGTATAGTTGTGTATTGCACTACATACGGTAACTTATTTAGCCTATCTTATTTATTGAGCCTATTACATTGTTTGTGTACGGGTATGAGGTGGAAAATAAAGATTCCGATTCTGATTATTAAATGTCTGCATAGGCCTATACTTCAGGCAAGTTCAGGAAATTTCAAAATCCAACATCTCCACTTTCCAACACTGGAACAGACTAAGAGAATTCCCTCAGCGATTGCAAAAATACGGTACTACAACATTCTGAGCAACGTTGTAAATGTTGTAGTTAGATTATGTCAGAAAATAACATTAAGACGTTACTTTACACGTTCGCAACGTCATTTAGTCAGAACTTACGATATTAATACGCACATAATAATGGTTACATAAAAGCTTTTCAAATCTAAACGGCAACGTTATTAGGCCTATGCGGGAAATATTAAAATGCAAGTGCATTTATTTAAAGATCAATTTAAGTTTTTAAAAATATACGATTAGGCCTACTACAGTTCCATTGTATTAATGCGATAGTAAATTTCCATAAATTACTACTAGACAAACAATACCTAATAGAATTCATTACTCACTAATTATTATGCTTGATGAGAATGGAACAGATGGAACCAGAATATATTAAAAAACTGACGTATCAGCATCAAGATGCAATATAACATGTGAATGTACAAAAAAACACACTGATGAAAGTTCAGTAATGGTCAGGCCAATATATTAGTATTCTTTATTTGAAAACAACATTTTTACAACAATGGCACTCGTACGTAACGGTGCATCCAAAGAAATACAAAGCCAAGAAAATCAAAACTTAATACATTAAGCAAATAAAAACAAAATAAAAATAAAACAAAACAAAACAAAAACAAAACAAAAACTTGTCAACCCATAGCCCACTCTAAGTTTTTTTAAAATTCAACATTAACAAAATGGAGAAAATGAAAAGCAGAGAAAATCAAACAAATAAAGAGATTAAGCAAATTCTGCCGAAGCTTGGTACTCCCACCAATAACTACCATGAAGCTTTGTAACGTTGTGATGACATTATCTATGCATTATTCTGATTCCATGTTTCCCGTAGGTGGACTGTATTGTTACCACATGTGGTGCGATTGAAGAAGATTTGATGAAATGCATGGAGTCTACCTACCTGGGAGAATTCCATCTGGACGGGAAGAAACTCAAGAGTGAAGGCTTAAACAGAATTGGAAATATGTTGATTAAGAATTCAAGTTATATGAAATTGGAAGACTTTCTCTTGCCGCTGTTCGACACGATGCTCGACCTACAGAAAAATAACGTACTAGATTTTATTTTGTGTCTAATTCAGATTAATGTAGAGTATGAATAAATACGGTTATAATTATTTAACGTTATAAGTTTCACTCAACATTTTTTTCAATTGATTTTGAAGTGAATATTACATCAGTATACAGGTAGGCCTAATCTGCTAACCTCGGTTTATATTTGTAAGCCTATTTATTATTCTTTAAATGAAATGGCGAGTCACTCTGGTTGAGAATTCAACAAATAAATCAGCACAACAAACACTAAACCCTATTAAATTTCGCGAACGTTGTGGTTAGGTTTTATGTCAGAACGTTGAAACCAGTGGCGTAGAAAAATATTTTTCATTGGGGGGGGGGGAATGATTGGCGTGTTAGCCAGTGTCGTAACAGGCGCGGGGGGGGGGAAACTTCCCCTCCCCTGACAGTTTTTACCGGGCTGACCAAGCCGTCGTACCGGGCTGGGTAATAAGAAAAAAGAAAAGGGGGAAAGGGAGGGAAAGAGAAAGAAGAGGAAAAGAAAAGGAAAGAAAAAGAGAAGAGAAAAATAGAGACAAGAATAAAAAGGAAGATATCATAATGACCAGACTCACAACACCCTGCTTATTATTAGCTGTTTAAATAAACACACATCCAATCTAACTACTGTAGGCCTACTGTATTCGGTAATAGCGCCAAAAGTCTAACAAGCAAAAATAGGTTTTTTCTTATCGACTAAATTACGGATATTGTTTTCATAGATCTTTGGAGAAGCATCTCTTATTTTCCCGCAACTTGTTGCCGAGACATTCGCTAGGAGGGCTGTCTCTTATACACATCGTACACACCCTTCAGTGTGAAATGTGGCTCTTGCAAGCACATCTAACATCTAAGGAAAGAAGAGCTTAGATTGGTACCAGATAAAATAATTTTGTTATCAACATTAATACATTAAGCCAATTTTCATAAGGCAGTGCAAATTATTTCTGTGACAGTCTTTTGAAGTGTGTAAAGCTCCATTTTATCCCATACATAGTCAAAATATTGGGGGATGATACAATGGACCATCGCCCCCTTGTCAAATATTAGGGGGATATATCCCTCCCATCCTCCCCCCCCCCGGGATCTACGCCTATGGTTGAAACAACTTGCAACAACGCTTGCATTCCAAAATTACGTTATAAATACGTATTTATGGTTCTAAAAAATACACCTGTTGATAACCAAACTGCAACGTTATTATAACGTAAAATCGTTAGCCGGATTATAAAAATTATATTTTTATTACATAGGGAATGAATTGGACGCCATCTAAAATGATAGCAAAGTTTGGAGAGAAGATCAACCACCCAGATTCAGTATGTTATTGGGCATACAAGGTTAGAATACCGAAGCATTAATCCACATTATAGTACTGCATACACCATTCCTCTTTTAGTGTTTATGGACACAGAATTTATTAAATAATGTTCGCATAATAAATGGTAATTATTTTTTTTCTAACAGAACAACATTCCAATATTCAGCCCTGCAATAATTGATGGTGGTATCGGCGATGTCATTTATATACATTCTTACAAAAATCCAGGTCTGAGGATTGATACTGCAGAAGGTACGGCTACGGTACCTATTTCGACTCCCGTTCTTCAAACCGTATACTTCAGGCCGAATTTGGCAAAAGTTAATGTTTGATACTCTTCATTTTGTTTAGATATTCGTAGAATGTATTCACAGGCGCTGACGGCGATGAATACGGGTCTGATCATTCTAGGTGGTGGGTTGATCAAACATCACGTGTGCAACGCTAATATCATGGTAGGTATCAATCACTCCAAGTGACCACTGCTTGCGATTTATCTCAAGGTCTTGGGATTTTTAATGACACCTTGGGATCTTGGGATTTTTTGTTAATTTTTTTAAAATTAAATCTTGGGATTTTTGGACTGACATTGAATTTTGAAATGTTTCTCTATCATTAAGAAATTATAAACAAATACTAGTGGGCAAACACCCACTTGCAGCTAAATGCCAGGAAATCCCGTCTTTTACTTTCCAAATTCTTTTAGGCTATGAGCTAGGAGGGGGGTCATCATGCACCCCCTCCACATCCTTATATTTTCGGTTTCTTTAGGTACCTATCCATAGGGCAGATGGTAACTAGAAAAAATGTTAACATGAAATATTTTCATTCCCAAGGTAATTTTTTACGCATTTTTGGAGTTAAAATTAAATTAATCAAAAATTTACCATCTTACACCTCCAGAAATGGAAGTTAAAACCCAACTGGGGTTTTTTTTTTTTATAACAATTTCATATCCTTCTGAAATATTATCTGTGTAAATGATTTTAATTCATATAATACATCTTTCCCCAAACTGCAAAAAATTCTCATCAGTTTACTGAAAAAAAGAATGATTTATTGGTCTTGAAATCCAGACAGTGTTTTGGTATACAGTAAAAATCATAGTACACTATAAAATTCATTGAAAGAGCCTTAAAATTGGACTTGAAAGTGTATGTATATTAGTATTTTGAAAATCTTGAGATTTTTAAAGGCTTAGGATATTTTAGATCCAATCTTGGGAATTTTCATTTTTTCCAATGGTCACGCAGGTAGGTAGGCCTATGAACATTTGTTTGTTTCAGTGGTGGCGCCATGATTTTCCAATTTAGGGATTTTAAAAGGCTATTTGTTCCATTGTAGTGTCTTACGTTAATGTAAAAATAATTTTGTTTCTTCCCCCGACGATGGTATTTTTTTCTCCAGGACAGAAGTGTAGGGGGGGGGGGAAACACTTTCCGACATCAGGGGGAAACACTTTCCGACATCAGGGGTGGGGACCTCGAGACAAGGTGTTGAACTAGTGGCCAAAGCAAAGTGAAAATATACACTAATGTTTCCAAAACTATAGTCGACTTCAAACGACTAGAAGAAATAATGTCTTGATGAGAGAAAATGTGAATTAATTCGAGCGTCTTGGTATGAAATGATCTATCGTTCTTGTGCGTAAACCTTTCCAAAAGGTTAGGCTAGCGTTTTTGGTACAGTTTTTATTTAAACCATTTACAGTACATTCGGGGCTACAATCTTAAATTATTTATAAATATTTTTCTTACTAGAATTATAAATATAGTACTGGTGGAGGCGCCAGCGGGGGGGGGGGGGCAGCAGGGGCTTAAGCCCCCACCGGACAGATCAAGCCCCCCCCCCCCATCGGACAGAGCTCGTCGGGCAGTCGGACTAAAAAAATATAGAAATAGGCCCACGTCAAGCCAACACATGCCTGTCACAGTCTGAGAATGTCATTTCTGGCCATCCAGAGGTTCCTGATCTCCTTTAAGAAATATCATTTGGGAGGGGGAACACCCTCTAAAACCCTTTCCCCAGCTTGGACCTCGAGCTTAAGTCCACCCTGTCGGACAGCTCATCCCCCTCCCCCTCCCACCTTCCGAAAATATACCCTAGAGCCGCCACTGGTTCCACTTCTTTAAGTTGTTCTCCCACAGAGAAATGGAGCTGATTATGCGGTGTATATCAACACTGCGCAGGAGTACGACGGTTCGGACTCTGGAGCTAGACCAGACGAGGCGGTATCCTGGGGCAAGATTAGCGATCGATCAAACCCTGTTAAAGTAAGGCATATTTGTACAGCATTTTTTGTTTGTTGTTTAAAAAATTATGCTTGCATTCTGCCCAATAATCATATCTCAGAAGTTTATACATTATTAGACACTACTTATTATTAGCTGTTTAAATAAACACACATCCAATCTAACTACTGTAGGCCTACTGTATTCGGTAATAGCGCCAAAAGTCTAACAAGCAAAAATAGGTTTTTTCTTATCGACTAAATTACGGATATTGTTTTCATAGATCTTTGGAGAAGCATCTCTTATTTTCCCGCAACTTGTTGCCGAGACATTCGCTAGGAGGGTTACAAGTGACATTTAATGGTTGGCCGAAGACGTCAGTTAGCAGTTTGAAGGGACAAACAACTATGGCAATATGCATAAGCTAATTATTGTACGATAGATGAGCACGTTCTTAACATTTATAATTTGGTTTAAATATTGAATAATAATTAAATTGTTGTCTTTTTATGATAAACAGAAACTCTTTCCTTACCACTTAATAAGGATAACGATTGGCTGCTAGGCATACACCCATTGTTGTGGGTCGATGCAATTCAACGCTTTTATTGAGTTTATCATAATTGTTCGAGATAAAAAAAAAAAGTATATTAGTATAATATTCAAACTTTCTTCGTTCAATAGTTATATTGA